CCCCCCCCTCCCTTAAGACTCACATATTAACGGAGGGTAATCCTTGTGTCTTTCCTTCCGGGCAAAGAAGATATTTGTGTTATATGCTGAACTTGTACAAAATCACCTTCAGGCACATACCTTGAAAGAATGATTCATATCATTATCTTGTATTACTTCTCATTTGAAGGAGCCAAAATATCTCTGTCAAAGACCTGAAACAAGGATGTGAGACACTTGACAGGCATTTTTCGTTAATCATAAACTTGAAAAAACATATGACTGAGAAATGATTTATGAGCAAGAACCCCACATAAAACACCAGAATTTGAAAATTTAGCCAATATAAGTGGGATCTGTCTTAATCTTCCAACTTGAAGTGCAATATATATATATATCATCAACAAAAGTTCAATTGTATTTGTGTAATACAAATAGTAATGATGGAACTCTTAAAGTGAAAAATGCATGTAGCTGCAGATTTTGTGAACAGTTAATATAACCAACTTGACGTAACAGAAAATGATGTCTGATTCTCAGGAAGAATGGAAATTCAATGTCGTTTATGTCAGAGATGAAGAGCCCATTGCCTGTCATACCTGCTTCTGCAAGTGTCATTCTCCATTTGGAGCGTGTTATTCATTTTTGTATTATTTTTATTTTTAGTACACGTGCTAGGATACATTGATACTAATTCGGCACGTGCACTATTTGAGGATTTGAAAACAAAAGTTTTAAAGAACTGCAACACTGAAAGAATGTACTCCAACGTCCTTAGCAGACACTTGTCTTATGATGTTAATCGCAGCATCAAGATCCTCAACCAGAAAGCATTCAGATTTGCCAAGAACAAGGAGAACAGTTTATTTTCTTGAGATTATAGAAAGAGAAGTTCCTTTAATCCGTTAAAACCAAAATTCGGAAAGCAGTTGCATTGGCAATTGCCAAGGAATTGGAAAAACAGTTTCTAAAGAGTGTACGAGGGATGCAAAATGAGGCTGGCAAAAATTTCTCCAGAAAAGTTCATATACCTTGAGAGATTCAATAGGCTAGCCAATACAAATTCCTGTCAGGGGATATTTTGAAATGTTAATAATATAATATGGTCCATGCTTCAGAATGAAACAATTGTAAGAATTCAACAAAGAAATTAGGTTTCATTACTCAGTGATAAGGCAGTTTTTTCTTCATAATTAGAAGCCTTTAACACATGTAATGAGCAGTTAATGTTTATAAAGTAATTTCTAATATTTCTCAACTCCACTAGACTCAAAAATTTATCTATATGCCTCCTGGAGCAGACTCAGGAAAATCCAGATCTGCTTATGCCTCTAACTTTTAAGAAGATAGACAGCAGCATAAATTTTCAGAATCTGTCAGGAACACCAGACATCAATGTATCCTGTAGGGAGTTCTTATGAAAATATTCAATCATATGAATTCCTAGAATATAAAAATGTAACAAACAAAGCAAATAACCAAAGTTTTGGAGGAAAGAGAAATTTCTCCAGAAAAAGGAAGTATTGTTGACCGTTTGAAGCTGTAAAATGTACAACACAAGTATGGAATACATCTCACAAGAACATTTAATTTGAATCATATACTTGGCCCCCGTTTGGCCCCCATTAAATTACATTACATTACATTTTTTTTTTTATCTCTCATATTTTCAACGACACAATCTTCCATAAAATAATATTACACGTAAATCGAAAAAATTTCCTTCTTTTTCAACCACTCATTTTTTTCAAAAATACCATTCCACCCATTTTCATTACCAAAAAATTGGGGGCCAAATGGGGGCTGAAGATATTTCCACATAAGTAACACCACTGGCCAACTAGGATAAAGGAGTGAAGATCCATGGTAATGCAGCCTATCAAAGAATTCTTAGTCATCGTGTAAGTAAAATTATCTACCTCTAGAATAACAGCACACGGTTCTTTAATGCAAGCCTGCTGGTATTGAACACAAGCTGATTTCTAAGTATGGGTAAGTCAAATTCTCTCAATAGATCAACTTATCCCTCTCTCTTTCATCCCTCTTGATCAATTTAAAACCATCCTTAGGCTTCCAATTCACACAACAATATATTAAACATATACACCCAATGATGAAGTGGCAAACATCTCTACCCAGAAATCGTTAAAACCAGACTTTCCTCATTTGGGATGATATATTTCTGCACATGACAAAATATTTTAGCTTTATATCTTGCTGGTCAATGCTTCCATCCATCGCCACAAAGTTACTCGTTATCTGATAAAGAAAGATGACAGTTGAAACTTCACCTGACCAAATAATACAAAAACCATATTCCTGAAAAAAAAAAAAAAAAAAAAAAAAAAAAAAAAAAAAAAAAAAAAAACACCAGAAATCTGTAAAGAACTTAGAATACATATGCTAGACGTTTGGTAATTTCTCCTCCAACCAAGATAAAATATCCCATTGATGCCCACCCCCTTCACCCTTCTCCCTTCAAAACCGCTCAATATTATGGCACTATTTACCTTTCAACAATAACCAAACATTGACTTTATCTCTTCTTCCTTCTGCTAGTCCCTGGCGACCATATTCTAAAGAAAGGATTTCAATAGTGAAATGCAGTGTTCAGGAATATTCCTAGATATCAAATATTTTTCCAGATCTCTGCTTGCATAAGTCCCAGGGAACAATGGCAGAATTGATTGTAATGCTCTGGCTTCAAAGGTGAAGATGTAGTATATCCTCATTGAACAAGGATTAGTATGAAATTGAATTTTAGTATAAAACATTTCCTCGGACCTCATGTTTTAGCTGGAAATAAAATCTGAAATAGGCCTTTCTAATTCACCCCCTTCACTTCTTCTTAGCTGGAGTGACGAACCAAAAGCAGACATCTTCTCGAACAAATTCTGAAGGGCCTCGTGCTTGTTAGCCAATTCCATAAGCACCTTGATCCTTTTAAAGGAAACATTACTGGGCTTCTGGCCCTTGTCCACCATCTGCAAGAAACACCTCTCAGCCTCCTCCAACTTTCCCAAATCACAGAGCAAATCAAGTAAAACATCAGAAACCAAAATGTACGACCCAAAACCCTTATCCACCATATCATTCCATAATTCAAGAGCCATCTCCACCTTCTCCTGCCTCCTCATCAAACGAATTAAAAACATGCATGATTGTGTATTAGGCAAGCACCCTGTCTCCCTCATCCTCATATATAAGCTCCAGGAGCTCCTCAAATCATTTGCCCAATAAAAAGACCTAAAGAACACGTTATAAGTTGTAGCGGTCGGGCTCAATCCCTTTCCCACCATTTCATCCATCAACTTGTATGCATCTCCTAACCTTTTAGCAATGCAAAAGTTTCGAATGACAGCATTATATGCTGGGACATCCGGATAGCACCCATACTCTTTCATCTCCTTTAAAACCTCTGCTGCCTTATCTGGTTGACCAACCAATCCCAACCCCCCAATCAGACTAGTATATGTTATCACATCTAAATCAATCCCTTCCTCCCTCATTTTGTTCATTACCTTAACAGCATTCTCAATCTGTCTTCCCTTACAATACACATCTACCAAGCAATTATAGGACACAATATCCGGCTCAACCCCCATGTCCTCCATTTCTGCAAAAAATGCTTCAGCTTCCTCAGGCGACTTCCATCCTGACAACAGGATATTAAAAGTCTGTAAATCAGGCCTAAACTCGTGCTTCAAACTGTGATATACATTCCTAGCATCACTCATGCTCTTTTCTTGGCACAATGTCCTTAGCAACGCATTATAACAACTAACATCAAACTTAATAATGAGCTTTCTAAAGCATTTAAAAGACTCAACCGTCTGCCAGACTGAACAAACTTTAGCTATCCTACCCAAAACAACTTGAACAGTCCTCGGTGTTATTAAAGACTGGTCCTTTTTCTTAGTTTCCAACAAAAGGTCCCATATTTCATTGAATTTACGGCTTCTACCAAGAATGTATAGCATTGTGTCCAAGGAGAAAGGAGTATGAAAAAACCCTTTTCTGCCAGAAACAAATCTGAAAAATTCCAATGCTTGTTGTGGGTTGGAGTGGGAAAAACGGACCCTTTTTAGGACTTTATCAGCTAAGTCGTTTGAGAGCGGGATTTGGGAGGTTTTAAGGGAGTTTCTAAGGGATTGTGGGGTGGATGAGGTAGTAATTATGCGGAAGACTTGATCTATGGCATCATTTGTGGAGGGACAGACGGGTAGGGTGTGCAGATGAGAATACCGTTTGATTGACCACAAGAGAAAATGAAGTTGAGGTTTTGGAGTCAGAAGAAGCATTGCCGAGTTGTGATTGCGGAGAAATTCGATGGATATTTGAATCAGTCGAATACGAGAAGCCGGAAGAGGCGGACGGAGGAGCAAAGGTTTCAACATTCAACAACTGAAATCCAGTCAACGAGAACGACGTCGTCTCGTCGGGGATGTCTAGAAATTAGGTTACAATATTCCCACGAATTTTTGCAAAGCTAACTTGCCGTTGGCCCTTTTTCCAGCGTTGACTTTATCCAGATTCCAGCGCTTCCTTTCTTGTTTTATTTTTCTGTATTTTTTAAAAATATTTTAGTAAGAATATATGGATTGACAATTTTGTTCTTTTCAATTTTGAACATTGTGGTTAAATGAGATGACAAAAGGAAAAATAGATCAAAATCCCCCATTAGAATACCTATTTTCGAAGGTTGAAAAAGGGTTAGAACGAAAGTGTAAATGATCTTTAAAATTGGATACCATTACCGCCAAATCTTTAAAATTGTAGAGAATTTTCCATCCCTCCAATCAATTTATATAAAAACCATAACTAATAAGAATTTTAAGTATCTCATATTGTATTCTCAGGAACAATCGATGAAATTAAAACCCGTAGCTTTGCATGAATCCTTTCTTGCTATTCTATAAAACTATCGCCACTCGTTTAACTTGAAACATTCAGCAGCCTTCAAGCCAACAAATTTTATTTGATGCATGATTTTCCATCCAAACATTCCAAGTTACGTAAACCAATATTACTTGGAGTGAACAGAATCTGCCCAAAAAGATTGTGTCCCAACTCCAAATTTTAAATTAAATTGTTGTTGCAATGTGTAAATTTTTCATTTCTCAAGGTATGTACACTTCTTGACCACACATCAGCAGCTATAAAATAGTGAAATACTTATAAACAAATCCAGAAGTCATTTCATTTACTTCCATTTTCCCTTTCCATGGGTTCTTCCATGCAAAAGATATGCTTACTTGATGAACACAAATGAAGAGGATTTGGTTGGGTGGGGGGTACCCCATCTATCGAGCAAAAAGTTACAAAGGCTTTACAACTATTCAAAATTCCCTTTGGATTTTGTGATTTGTCTCCTCAAACTCTTTCACACCACAGAGATCATTTCTTTGTATAACTTAGGTATGGATCTTGAGCAACAGTTAAAACATCTGGTCTCTCGGCTTGGCTGTATGTCAAACAACGACGAATAAAGTCCTGCAGAAAATATAAATACAAAGGCAAGCTATTCGTTTAGAACACTGAAGAACTGCATTTTTAGAAATGTAGAGGAAGAGTCAAGTCTTCAAACTGAGGAAGGAAATAAAACTAAGCAAATACCGTTTTACAATGGGTAAAACGATCAAATAATAGCTGATAATAGAACTTAAAAACACACACACACACATCCAATAGAAGTCGAGATCCAATTCTGGGACTTGCATTGTCAAAGGAAGCAAAATGAAAAAGGAGTGTTTCCAGAAATATTGAATGCATAAATGTGCAAGGCAAGAATCTGAAGTAGTAAGAAGAAGAAAAGAAAGATTAACAAACTTCAGTGACCAGCCTGTAACAAAGTTTAAGTTCAGTTACCAACGTGGAACTAATTAAAGTTTAATTGTTAATAACGACTCGATAAAAGTTCATTGGCACTGGTGTTATTAACCTAAAGAAATATCGTGTACCTTTGCCTCATTTGATACGGATGGTCTTGAAGGGAAGTCTACCTTCCGGGCCTTGATAATGGTGTCTTCACGTAAAATCTTCTCTTGTGACTGGTCATGTCCAAAAGGACGTCGGCCAAATAGCATTTGGTAAAATAGAATACCAACCGACCAAACATCAACCTGTTTCCAGAGACATACAAGTAGGAATTATAATTAGGCCAAGTTGTACGAGAAAATCTAAAGAAATGACAGCCACCTCAAAAAAAAAAAAAAAAAAAAAAAAAAAAAAAAAAAATTTGCCTAGACCCTACCAACTCTGAAACTAGGAAAAAATTAACTCAGGTGTTAGGACATTTATTTCTTCTAGCTTGCACATATTTAAGTGTGTTCAGCTAAGCTTGAAAAGTTTACTTATAAGCAAATAAGAAGTTTTATAATAAATAGGTTTTTTATTGGGCAATGTTGAAACAAGTTACTTAATTTGACACTAAACTAAGAGTCAAAATATGTTTAACTCTTGAAACAAAGAAAAAATAACATATGCAACCATGTTCAGAAAAAAAGAAATTAACTTTCACTCTTTTTTTAAGCTTAGTCATGCATGGTTTCCCATATGCAAAATTACAGTCTAACAGACCTTTGAGGATATGAGAGGTGTCTTGTTTAGCTCAAAGCATTCTGGAGGCAGATACCTGAGATTACAGCAGAAGCTATGATCAACAGAAGAATATGTAGAAAAAAGTGCAAAGGCATTCTAATATAAAGTCCAGAATCCAACATTACTACTGTATGAATGAGACTAAATAAAATTTACATGGTTCGACTTATATAAATTCTCATGTACAGAACAGTAATCAGAAAGCCATCAAGACGGACAATCAACTATATCTCAAACAACATCTGTGATAGTCTTCTACTTTTGATTAGAACTAACTAAAATATAAGTGTCCAAGGCCAATATTCTGGATTTTTTTTTTCCCTTCCTCTTTCTGCTAGTAACTAGGATTCAAATGCAGGGGTTATTTCTACTTTTACTGTGATTTCTAATTTTTATTTTGATCTCAGATAAGATGCCCTTCTCTTTTCTTTCAAGAAGTAATCTAAAAAATGAGACAACTATTATTAATATCTAGCGACCATGAGGGATAGCTTTGGACATATAAACAGGAAAATGGATTACATAAGCCAAAGAGCAAAGGAGCATTGCTTATGCAGGGTAGAATCATAGAGCCATATTGCATGCATAAAACAGAACATCTGCCAAAACAAATAGTTCAATTTATTAGCTCAAAGGAATGCCTCGAATTGGAGAAGGAAACGCAGAACAAGAACAACTGCATGGAAGCCACATGACAAAGCAAGACAATTCAATGCTGACATCTATTATACTTCCACAAAAATAGAAAAACACCAGAAGTCCATGTTTGGTATGCAACATGAATAGGACTGGGCAACGGGGTGAACAAGATTTTAGCTTCTTTATATTGCTTAGTACTATCTAGTACTATTCAATCCAACATGCCAAATATGTCATAAATAATTCATCACTTACCAATAAGTTCCAGCACCTTGCGACGTAAGCTCCATGCCCTGGGATCCCACATCATCCTCTACTATCTTGCTAAGGCCAAAATCAGTGACTTTAGCGAAGCCAAGCTCATCAAATAAAACATTTCCAGGCTTCAAATCATAATGGATAATCTTCTGTGATCTTTTGTTCAGGTAAACAAGGCCTTGAAAAATCTGGACAATGATGATCCTTGCTTCTCTCTCTGGCAATACAGGCGTTGCTTTCAGAACTATGTCAAGATCCTTGCCTGATGGGAAGAATAACGTTAGCGAGTCTCAAAAGGTGATATTTAAGGACCATGAACTTTTTTCTCTTCAGGTGAAAAAATCAAATTGATTATATATAGCTGAGAAAAGTTCTCATACCACTGCAGTACTCCAATACGGTGCAAAATGTATTTGGGTCAATCTCGAAAATATCCCAAAGGCGAACAATGTGTGGGTGCACCAATGTTTTGTGGATGTTGTACTCCCTGATTGCATGTCGTATGTAACTTTGCTTCTTATCTTCGCTCCACTGAGCATGTAAACCATGAAGCTTACATGCAACATATCTATGCTCCACCAAGTCAAAAGCCTACCAGAAATGTAAATTACAAATCACTTCAAGGATGTTTGCCCTTGTGATTGTGATACTGAAAAAAGATAGATCTAGAATGTACTATGATCAACGGAGCCTTTTTTGGCACTTCCCATTCAATAAAAAATGTTCAAAGAGTCCAAGAACACAACATAACTTGCATAGTCCTGACCTTATAAACCTCACTAAATCCTCCTTTGCCAAGAAGGTTCAGAAGAGCATATCGATGGTTTAAAATCTGAAAATTGTTAAAACGGGAACCATCCTCATCTCGAATGCGTTTCATTTCACGTATAAGCCTTCCTTTCTCCAATTCATATCGATCTCTGTCACGCATTACTGTTTCTTCCTCCTGAAAGAAATACAACTACAATAGTATTGCATGGTAAAAATGTAACAAGAATCAATCGTAGATGAAGCGAACTTACACGCTTGATGCTCGCTAGACGAGATTTGTATACTTCGTCCAAAAATAGAACATCATCATGAACTGCCTCTGTGTCACTTCCCTCACCCTTATCTGCAATAAGCATTTAATTATATTATTATTTAGCATGAAAAACTTGATAATTCCCATTAAGACCACTCCCAAAGTGTAGTTTGATAGAGCCAAACAAAACCCAAAGAAAGTGTTCCCTTCAGTCGCAAGTGGATTCACATAGGAACTGACTCAGTGAAGGCAACCGTTGCTAGCAAGCTAACATATAGAGGAGGTTTGTAAAGCTACAGGGGAAGCCGGGTCCTTTGAAAAAAAAAAAAAACTATTCCATTGTAGAGGCAAAATAAACAACCTCGAGATAAATCCAAAAACAATTCCTAGTTCAGACCAAAGGTATTTACCAATAACTACAACCTTAATAAATCAAGTGTCACGACCCAAATTTTATTGTGGCTTTGAATAGAAGTAGAGATATGTGTTCATTCGTTACTAAATTAGCACCATCATCACTAAAGTACGCCCCAGAAGGTCATGATGTACAGACTTGTAATCTTTTTTAAGGAAGAAGAACTCTACCCGATTGACGTTTCTTCACTAATTTTCGCTGCCTTTCAACAGCTTCCTTGTTCTCCAACAAGTTCCTCTGAGATAAGCAGAGTACAATTGATGTAAAGCCCTCGTAAAAAAAAATTAGTAGTTTTATTGATAAAGAAGATGACAAAGTAACATGAAACAAGAATACTTAGTTCTTGAGATATTAGTTTGAGTTATATGACTTCTACAATTGTATTTAAACATCTAACACAATCAAAGATCAGGAATAAACTCCGCAAATCATTCAACTTGATAATATTAGAATGTACATAACATAATAGTAAATCACAAATGCATCATTCAGTCTATGCTGCAACCTACATCAGACCAAAGATGATGTGAAAACTATGGGTATTGGTACCGTAAACTCAACCATTTGATATTTTAATCTCACAACTAAATAAATTATAAGATTTTTTATTCTGTCCTCTTTTGGGAAAATGAGTATTTTAATGGTGATTTTTTGGATAATGTGTGAATAAAAAGCAGGAAAAAGTTCTGGATTTTACACATAAAATTATTTTATGGGAAAATGTATGGTTGAAAATGCGTTTTTGAAAAAAAAAAAAATGAGTTTTTAAAGAATGAGGCTCAAATAGGGGATAAGATTTTTATTTTTCAGGAATTAGATGCCAAATTTTAGTTCTTTGCAATATGATATAAATATTCTGGACTAAATGATTATTTTGAATGCAAATGAATTCTTAATTAACTTAGCAACGGTAAAATATAATTCTGGTTTAGTTCTTTTGCTCTCCAGTCCTGCACAAAAACACCCTATTACAGTGCAAACAGCATTAGAGAAAGCCATAGTAAGAGTTCAAGAAGTTACAGAGAATTATCAACTGCAAGCCAAGAGCCTTTATTATCATATTTTAGAATAGAAGTTCTGAAGAGGAAGTGAAACTAGGCAACTCGATCACATTTTTCCATGCCTGTATATGTAGTCCATTAGAAAAATATTTTGCACAAATACTCAGGTTGCATCAAAGATATTATCTATAGGCCTCGAAGCTTTTTGGCAATAGAATCCACTATTCCCTTGAAAGATTATGTATATAACCGGTGAAAAGTTAATTGAACCCAAAAATATTGTGTTCTAGATATATAAACAAACACAAGAGTATAAATAATTAATTTGCAATAAAAAAGGAAGAACCATACAAGGTGAGTATTAAGATCCTTAAATGCTTGTCCATCCTCCCATGCCTCAGAGATGACTGTCCCAGCCCTGTCCAGTTCATGGAAGAAGAAAGAGGTGTAAGCAATAGGAGATAATTAAATGGATAATGCAGAGCAAAAAAGGGACGTAATGAAATGAAATTTGATATTGAATAACCAAAAAATGTAGGAGATAATTACATAGATGAGATGGGGGAAAAAAGAAGATAACAGAAGGAAAAATTTGCACATACGACTTAAAATAACTACTTCAGAGTTCAGCTCCCTTGTCAACTGAAAGTCAACTAAGTAATTGCAAAAAAATTTAACAATGTCCAGCCAAGAACTAAATAACTAATTAATATTTTTCTCCTAAAGACATTATTTACAAGAAAGCATGAGACAGTGTAAGAAGAAAAGAAATTGAGAATGGAAGTTTCAATTGCAGAAAACCAACAATTTCTATGGTTCCCAATTTCTTATCAGGCTGACGGACAAGGAAGCAACTCCAGCACCCAAATGCAGTAAAATGAGTGTTTGGCACCAATAAATATCCATACTGCAATTTTTAATTTGTTATATTCTCCACAGAGCTACTCAATGAAATGCCAATATAAAATCATATTAAAGTCCATATGAACAAATGAAGTATTGCCCATCATATCTACCATTTTGCAAGGTAAATTCTACACTCCTATATACAAGTCAAGCCATTATTCAACAAAAATGATGTACTCATTGAAAAGGAGAACATTAGTTAAGAAGCAAGACATGCCATATTTTGCACAGTAATATCCAGCTTCCAAATTACACCAACAATCAAAGTAACAAAATGTTTGAGGTAAAGGTAAATAAAACGCACACAGATTTGTTAAGTTTGATTAAAAAAAAAAAAAAATGCTGTCTTTTTCACTAAGCATCGGTAAAATAATATACAGCTTTTTTCCCTCAGAGCCATATGATACACATATTTCCCTGGACCAGAGTGAGGACACGCTTTAAGATTATAAGGACAACTAACTATTATCAATAGAAAAGTGAAACAAAACATTAAAGTACCTGACAACTCCCACATTACCAAGTCTCAAGGAATCTTGGCGTACTTTCATCCTTGCTTCTTGTCTCTCAGCTTTCGAAATAGTTATCAATAGATCAGATATTATTTTCATTCTCTGCATCAAGAAACAAATAACTAATTACTGGCAGGAGTGAACCAAAAGATACACAGCATCAATCGAGTTCTTTTCTTTACTTGAGTTTTTGGTCGAAGCCCCAATTGACTACATCAAATTTTTATAAGCCTGATAATATGCCATTGTATATAAAATATTTTCCACTTAGATATCGGCAGCAGGGATGCTTAATAAAACAAAGCTTTCAACTCAGTAGTGCAGCAGCAATCTTTTTACCGAGAAAGGCTATGCCATACTAAACCTATCAGGTAACAGACCACTTGATTTAGATCCTATCAGCTTAGAACATCAAGATAGTAGAACACAATGACATGTACTAGCTCTATTTACAAAACTTCACGCAACACCAAGAACGAGAGAGAGAAGAGAAATAAAAGGAAATTTAAAAGATATGAAATAATATATTTAACTTCAGAAATCGAGAGACTAAAAGGTTAGGAGTATCTTCATGCCCAAAAATAAACGTAACATTCATACATAAGTTCAAACAATAATGATTTGCTTCTCTACCTACACAAATTGAAATTTTCTCGTCCTCCTAGCCAAACAAACTTTGGTCAACTTCGTAAGTAAAAATTCTTACTAGAAAGGTAAAAACTAACTGCTCAAAAGATGACAAAAACAAACCTTTGGCTTCATCTGCAGTTCATAATCTTTAAGATCCTTCAGTTCCTGTGCAAAATAGAATAAATATGATAATGCGTGCATTGAAATAAGTAACAGTTACTAAATCCAAGCTTCTTTTGAATTCAAATTACAATTACACCTTTTCTAACTGTTGACGCTGATTTCGATGATCAGAATTCTCTTCACGCAACTTTGTTAGTTCTTCCTCCAAAGCTGCAACTTTTGCACGTAAAGAAGTGACCTCCTATTTTCATCAATACCATAGACAGGAAGTCCGGAAAATAATTAAAATAAGCTCTATTATCTCTTCCTAATATCAATGCGAGTTTAAACAGGAGCAGACTTCATAAGCAAGGAAGAGAAACAAAAATGATAACAATGTTACAACAAATGAATACCTCTAAGGAGGTATGGCCATCAAGTCCAGGATGGTCATTGGAAACACGCTCCTGCATCTGTCAGATGTGATAAAAAAGAATACTAAATTAACTGTCTTCACAATCGTTTAGTTGCATACTGTAAATTTCAACCAAATTTGCAAATTAAAATGGATGAGTTCCGACAAAGAGGTAATGTGAATATATCAAATAAGAATATGTTCAAAGCACAAAAATTCACTCGAACATTTGTTCTCATAACCAAAAGAATCGCTTATGTTCTCATACTTGAAGCACCTTGAATTCTAAAGTGGAAAATGATAATTCAAGTTGCAGGAAAACAAATTATCCTGGAAAATTAGAAAACTCAAAACCAAGTCTGAAACATAGATCTAAATGGTAATATGTTCCTATGTTTTCTTAACACACAAACGTCACAGAAGTTGTCGATATTATTTTTACTCGGTTATTACATAAAGCACCAGGCGATCTCATAACTGAGATCCAAAATAACAAGATAAAATTACAACGAGTACAAGATACAACAATGAAGTTCCTAATATGTTCCCAATTGTATTTCTTAATGCACAAACGTTACAGAAGTTATCGACATTATTTTTACTCGGTGGCACATAAAGCACCAAGTGATCTCGTAACTGAGATCCAAACTAAAAACATAAAGTGACAGCGAGGAAAATATATAACAGTCATGATGCATCTAACATATTAGGAGAATAGTGTTTTCGTCTACCACCAAAACAGGAAAATATATAAAAAGGAGGAACATCAAATATCATCCATCAAGATATTAAGTAAAAAGGTCATGGGAAGAAATGGAAGTAAATGAATTGCCAATTTTGTTCTGTCATTTATTGACATACCGATGCTGTGGAAGAAGCGAATTATTGAATGAACACACTCAAACACTCGTTGATTCTGAGATTACCAAGAATTTGATACTGAATTGAAAGAAATCTCAAAGCAATATTGTTCAATCAACTAAAAAACAAGAATTGCTATCATTTTTATCAAAATCCTGAAAGCATATTTTTATGAAATTAAAAATCAAACCCTATTTAATGAGAAATATCAAAAGAGTCCCTAAAATATGACCAAATGACAAAATAAGCAAATAAGAAAAATAGGAAACAAATGAACAAGGCCCCCAGCACACAAACTTATGACTGTATTCATCAAAAAATAAAAAAATAAAAAAATAAGGAAAAAATAACAAATGTATACTAATATATATTAGTATGCTAGCATATCCCCGGCAATCGAACCACGTATCAGGATAGCATTCAGAAGTTAAAAATGTCATGACATAATAATCAAACCTTGTGTGAGTTTTCGAGTTGACCATTGGATGGAGAAAAAACTGTCTCCATTCTCGTCGGATCACAAACTCGATAACCACGCCCCCTACTTGAAGCAGAACTTCCCCTACCACGACCATGTTTTTTTTTATTTACATCAGGACCCACCTTGTTGGAGTCTGATTCTACAATAACTTGTCTTGGATCAGCAGCTGCCTGGGGTAAATTGGGTGAAGCATTACTATACACATTGTTTCCCAAATAGTAAAATCTAAGAAGAAAGTTGAAACTACCTTAAGATGGCATACAGAGATACATCAAACTTAGAAATTAAGAGATTAAAAGGAACAAAAATATGGAGAAAGGGATTAGCCAATATTGAGTTGGACTTCAACATAAGACAAAATTCAACAATTGCAACAAGCCGGCCAATAATAAATAATCACACTTACCTCAACATGTTCAAATAAAGTAGAATCTTCAACTTTTTGGCGCTTCTGAGTGTTTGCTTGTATGAGAAACTCCCCTCCATTCTGGCATACAAGTACAGATATGTCAAAACGATTGTAAAATAGTAAGTCCATCGAGAACATCTACTACATTTCTGGGATAGCAAAGGTAGTAAACACAGATTCTGAATGGAATATCTGAAAAGCACCAGTAACGCAGTTTGGAATATTTTTCAATCAAGCTAGGTAGAACATGTCAAAGCACGAGACTAATTTCCAAAAAAGAAATACAATTAACTAATCTTTCTAGCCAGTCCACTGATGCTTATTCCTCATATCAAAATTTCAGTAGTAATAGACTTGGAAAATTTACCTAATTGAAATACTCGGAGAATCAGAAATCAAATGAAATTTGATTTATTGGCTACCCAATGAGGAAAATCAATCAACCTGTTTATGGTGAATTTTAACTTTAACTGTTTAAAATATTTGGAAGGGCTGATAGATTGTGGAAAAAAATTAGTTAACTAGAAATATGAGAAGATGTAAAAAAGCACAAATAAAAGTGGAGGGAGAAGAGAACCATAGGACAGCAATTTCATCACGTTCAAAAAGATATTATTACAATGAAAAGCCCCTAAGTGGTTCTAATGAGTAACTGAACCATGGATTGTGAAAAAACTCAAGCAACCCAGAAAAATGAGATGATGTACAGATAGTAGATAAAAAGTGGAAGGAAAAGGGAAGCATAAGATAGTATTTCATCACATGCAAAAAAGTGTTGTAACAATGAAAAGCCCCTGAATGGTACTAATAACTAGTAACTGATCCAAGAGGAAGTCATTCAATTTGGCGCAGAAACACAAGTGGCTTTATCTTAAACATTTGATGCACACATGAGAATAATATGTCCAGAATTGTGAGGTCAATGGCCAATATTGGTGATACAATCCATTAGACAGGAAAATGTAACTTGAAGCACAAAACTTAATTCTCTCTAGTGGAAATGGTGTTAGAATATATAAGATGCGCCGGAGGGTTGCACATAGACATTTGTATAACTTAACTATCTTTAGTTTTTCTATTCCTTTTCTACCAATAAAGCTAGCTATATTTCTGTCCTCTTTTTTCATTTGCACTTCCTTACATAAGGCATTAGAGTATCCAAAAATGTTCTTAAGGTATAAGGTATTTTTCTGTGAACGTCATCCCATCATGTGATGATGTGTGTCGCATGGACACTTCAACTAGGTTGGCGTGTTCGTGTTCATGTTCGACATGTGTTGAGACGTATCAAATACAACACCCCTCGAATACTCTATCATGATTATTTTCCTTTCTTTATAATTGATATTATATATTTTACCTCAAAGTTATTACTAACTAACAAATAGGCACTCTTATTAAAAGATTTCAACAAGAAAAAATAAAATTATACTATTTAAATGAAGAATTTTATCAACTTGGCGACATGTCCGACACGTGTCGTGTTGAATTACGTATCCGTGTCGGTGTACTTTAGGTGATGATTAATCATAGTTCTAAAAGAGGTAAGAAATTATCAAGTGTTCTTCCTTAAGCAGAAGGAAGAAAAGAAAACCGCTTATAACCCCCCTCCCCCCCAACACAGACCCCCCAAAAAGGTTCATTTAAAAACAAATGTGAGACTAGAAAATCAACCAATATAAACTCTTGAGGTAAGTAAGGTTGAGTTCACTTCAAGAATACTTTGACATCTAAGATTTCACCACCAGATTCTCGACATATGTGAGCCATTATAAATGATTGTAGTTATATATTATCCAAAGATTTTGGTAGAGACTACGTAACGCTCAACATGTTCGGTACAAAGTAATAGTGGCATTGGAATCCAACTCAAAGAGAACTTGGAGAGCCCCCAAGTTTCATTCCACAAAGATTGCATCAGTTCAGATTTTTCAAATAGTCCCTACCAAAATTCCGCTCTTCACAAACATTAATAGATGCCACTCATTTAATTATGACTCCACATTTCATGTCCATGTATAAGTATACTAAAAATATAGAATTCCAAGAATGAATTCAAGTGCTAAAACAAATTTGTGCTCATGGTACCTTTACAAATATCACTATTTAATGACATTCCATTTAGTAAGCAAATATGTACTGTATTCAGAAGAACATTTATTTGGAACAAGCTTAGTTTGTTCTTGCTTGCTTTTTGTGATCAAACCGCATTCCGTCCACTATGTATAGTGCATAATTTGATAGCTAAAATTTAGATTTCCGGCAGCTTGAAACTTTGGGTTCCAAATAATTGTACCACAGTTTATATTTTTGCACTGCCTCATGCAATTACAAGACAATGAGACTATAGTCACTATATTTCATGAAAAGAAAGGTAACCATAGATATTATCAACTAGATAAGCATACCAAAAAATAATAAGATTCGAAAAATTTCCTATTTTGAGGTTCCATTCAGCGACCTAAGAAATATCACAATTATGCTAACAAAATATGGTCCGATGTTAAAATACACTCTACAAATACTCACCTCATCCTCAGAATCATCACTTGACACCAGCGACTCGGGGGGCAGGCTATCGGATGGACTACCAAACTTGACCGCCGCGGACCACAAAGTGGACTGGACCTGGGCTGGTGCAGTAACTGCAGAGGATGTCTTGCCCACCATTCTGGCCTCGAGTTTCGCAATTTTCGTGGGCAGAGACGATTGATCAGATTGATTGGATGAATTTGAAGAGAAATGTAAAAGCATGTCATCTGACATTGCTTAATTATACTATTTTGTAGCAATCGTAGTCAATGCGGGTAAAAGCTAACCGTACTGAAGTTTTTTCTCTTCAAATCATCCACGAAAACAGTACATTCAGAACCCCCAAAAGAAAATAAATAAATACAACACGCGAGAGAGGAGAAGTTTTTGGGTATTGGAATGAAAGCAGAGATTTTTAATAGACTCTTTGAATAAAAACGTCGGTTAGGCGATGTGTAGTGACATCAGTCTATTCAGGTTAAAAATTCAATTGCGTGAGAGAGAGAGAGATACACATTTATGAGAGAAAATTAGGGTTTGTGATGGATTTTTGCAAGGGCGAAATGAAAGCAAAATGAAGAGAGAAGAGGGTGAAGGGGGGGAATATTTTTGAACTCTGAAGAATTGTATTGCGGAGAGAAGACTTGTTTTGAAGAGAATTGAGAAAATTGAGGATTTGACAGATTTCTGTAAGAGCAATTTTTGATCCGGTCATCAGGTCACGTTCCGTTGTGCAGTGTGTGTAGGTTGGCCCATCCAACCATATTATACCTGTGGGCGGGTCGGACCTGTGCGAGTGACAATACGAAATAACAATAGAACGAAGATGGAGAAAGAGTTGGATATTCTAAGGTAACGATTTTCTAAAATAGGCGAGAAGAAATAGTCATACTTGAGATTTTTTAATAGAAAGTTTATAAAATTGTCTTTTGTGTAATTTCTTTCCTCCCTAATCCCTATATTCTCATTCTACTATACCGTTTATTTCGTGCTACGAATGTTTATTGTTCTAGCACAACACATTAGCCTAAAGCTTCGAATCACTTTGCGTTTTGTAACACTATATCTATCTCAATTGATTCACTTTTTACCATTTTTTTAATCTTTAGCCAGCATTTTCGAAAAAAATAACAAAAATTAAGGATGGCAATGGATCTTGCTACCCTTGCAAAAGCCAAGATGCCAATCCAACCAAACTCTTGGTTGTTTCGTTGTTGTTAGTCAGACTTAAATTCGTTAATAATAAGGTTTAGTTTGTTGTTGTCTCTCCACTTGGTGCTTATTGAAATTGTGCATCCATTGTTAGGATTAACAAGTTGATTCTTCCGTTGTTGCTCCAAGCATAAATAACCCCTTTACTTAAATACTAAGGATTATATTTACATCAAGACTTGATCCTACCTAAAGTCAAGACCAAAGCAAAATTTTAGCTCAACATCGGATGCTACCTTCGTTGTTCTTTTCATTAAAGACAATGTAAGTTTGGTTAGAGGATTGGTAACGAGATGATTTCACTTTCCTTGTATGTTTTAGTTGATTTAAAGCATGAAAGTGCGGTGAGAAAATCTCTATAAACAGTTGGTCTCGACCTTTCTTTCCTCGAGTCGAACAAGTGTGTGTTTGAGCCATATTATTTTGAAAAAAATTGTGTTTTGAAATAGTAGATTGATGGAGAATGCATGGTTAAAAAATAATTAAAAAAATATGTTTTAAATTTGCATATAATATTATTTTATTGAAAAATGTGTTATTGAAATAACGTCAAATCTCTGTTTAATAATCTATTTTTTTGAAAGGACGTGGCTTAAACAAAACCTAAAAGGTTGTATTAAACCACTTTGTTTAATGTTTATGATATTATTAGTGAAGACAATATATAATTAATATACAAATGGCATAATATAACAATTTAAACTTTTAAATCAAGTAATTTATAATTATAAATATGACAAATTTATTTAAAATTTGTACTTGACACAACCTGTCAAGTAAAACCCAAGTTCAGCATCATACAAAAGGCACGACATGTGCACCGGTATTTATACATGGATGGTAATGAAAATTGAACTCAATACATACATTTGTTCCGATATCATGTTGAACCACCTTATTCAATAGCTTAAGTTGCTATATGAATGGGACAAGTTAATATATTTGAATTTTATATTTAGTTAGTGTTGTAAAATAATGAAATCATTATTGATGATTATTTAGTATTATCATGATACATGAATAAGTCTTATTTATAGTTTAGAATATCTATTTTATTCCAATTGTAACTCTTATTTTGGCCCTTATAAATATAGGACATTGGTTCATAATAATACACAATTGAGTTTTAACTCTTTATTTCTTCTCTTATTTTCTCTCTTCCCTTTAATTTTATAACACGTTATCAGCACGATAACTTGATTTTTCAAAATCTATTGAATGTAGTAATTTTGTTAAGCATAATTTTTTTATCAAATGTATCAAAATTAATTTGATAACATGCTATTTTTTATTTTCACGCATCCAACTCATTGTATTTCTTTGCCACAGTTCACGATTTTTTTTTATGACCGTCAATTTTATTCTGCACTTTTAATTGATGTTTAAAATTATGTGAAATCATTGCAGAATTCACAATTTGATAATTTGTCTACTAGCTACATGCCTTTCATCATTCTCTTGAGTTTATTTTAATATGAATGATAAGTGGAATTTTGATTAAACTTGACTGTGATTTACTGAGAGAGGTTTCACGTTTCAATTTGATAATTTACCACTAATTACATGTTGAATCTGCAGCCACTGTCTCGATTAGTACCCAAGTGCACGTAAAAACAAGAAATGTCATTTCTTGACTTGATTAGATGAGGCCAGCAGTGAAGGGCCCGTAAGGGAAAATTTTAGACTAGAATAGTTAAGCATATGCATCTTAATCTTTTTGCTTATTATTTATCGTTTGATTAATTATCTTGTTCTTATCCTTTTAATACGGGTATAGTTTATAAATTTAGTTTTCGTAGATCTATTTATTATAAATATTTTGTTGTTGCCCATAAAATAGCACAACATTATACTTAATATTCTTAAGGAATATTATAATATTTTTGAAAAATATTACTTGCTCCTGAAGAGTATAAATTATATTTTTTAATATTTCAGAAGAATATTGACGTATTGATCTTGAAGAAATAATAATAAAAATACAATGTGCTCTTGAAATAGCACGTCTTGAAGAATATATATCTCATTGTGTTCCAGAAGAAATATAAATTAAATTACTCGATATTGAGTCATAATTTTTAAAGGAAAGTATTTTTTTATTTCATTAATATTCAAAAAGAATATTAATTTGTCGCTCCAGAAGAGCATACAATTCGATGTTTTAATATTCTCAAAGAATATCATATTAGCGATTCTGGAAAAGTATAAATCTTAAAATACTAATAAGATCTAAGATGGATCATGAAGATATCTGCTTAGTAGATAGTGCAATTATGCACACAATTCTTCAAGATAAAGTATTTTTAAAAAAAGTTAACATTAGCAGAAAATAATGTCAATACAATATCAGGTGCATCAAATATCGTTGAAAGCTCCGAAAGAGCTTATATTATTTATCAAATAATACAAAATTATATATTGACAATGCACTTTATTCTAACAAATCCAGAAGAAATTTGCTTAGTTTTAAAGATATCCACTGCAATTGATATCATATTGAGACGATGCAAGAAAATAATACCGAGTATCTTTGCATAACTTCTTTTGTATCTGGTCATAAGCAAATAAAAGAAAAAGTTCATGCATTCCCATCTAACATGTATTATACATTTATAAAAATGGTAAAATCAAATAATGTCATGAACTAGAAGTTCGTTGACCCAAAAATTTATATACTTTGACATGATCGACTTGGACATTCAGGAGCTATAATGATGCGTCGAATAATAAACAACTCACATGAACATCCTTTAAAGAATCAGAAGATTCTTTTACCTAATGATTATCCATGTGTAGCTTGTTCACATTGGAAGTTAGTCATTGGACCTTCAACTACAAACGTTAATATTGAATCTCCAACTTTCTTAAGAATTCATAGAGATATATGTGGGTCAATACACCCACCATGTGGACCATTTCGTTATTTTATGGTATTAATTGATTCTTCCACTAGATGATCACATGTTTGTCTACTTTCCACTAGAAATTTAGTATTTGCTAGACTATTTGCTCAAATTATAAAATTACGAGCACAATTTCTCAATTACTCAATTAAAACTATTTGTCTTGACAAAACTGGTGAATTTAGATCACAAGCATTCGATGATTATTGTATGTCAATCGGGATTGTAATTGAACATTCAGTTGCGCATGTCCATACGCAAAATGGTTTGGCAGAGTCGTTTATTAAGCGTCTACAACTTATTGCTAGACCATTACTTATGAAAATAAAACTCCCAACTTCTATTTGGGGTCATACCATACTACATGCTGCATCATTGATTCGTATTAGATCAACTGTCTATTATCAATATTCACCTTTGCAACTGACATTTGATTATGAACCTGATATTTCTCACCTACGGGTCTTTGGTTGTGCTGTCCAAGTTCTTATTTCACCCTCCCCCCGTCCACAACGTACTAAAATAGGTCCCCAACGAAGACTTGAAATTTATGTGAGTTTTGATTCAGCATCAATTATTAGGTATCTTGAACATTTAACGGGTGATTTATTTACTGCACGTTTTGCAGATTGTCATATGTTCCAATAGAAAATATTTCAGCAAAAATTGATGTCCCTGTAGGACAATCTCTTGTAGCAAATGAATCTCAAATACGCCAGAAGCGTGGTCGACCAGTTGGTTCAAAAGAGTGTGTACTTAAAAAAATAAAAGTACATGAGAAAAACCAATCAAAAATTTCAAAAGAAGTACATTAAAAAAAGATTGATCAATCAGATATTAAAAATACGGTTCATGAAAAATCACAAGTGTCCGAAAATAATGAGATTTCAATAAATTATATGTTATCTCATAAATTATGGGAACGAAATAATGTTGTTATAGACAATATTTTCTCCTTTAATGTGGCTTTTAATATTATACAGAATGAGGATCCTAAACCACAGTCAGTTAAAGGCTGTCAAAATAGAAATGATTGGCCAAAATGGAAAGTCATACAGGCAGAATTGAATTCTTTGGAGAAACGAAAAGTGTTTGGACTTGTGGTTCAAACACCTGAAAACATAATCCCTATTGGATACAAATGGGTCTTTGTACGAAATAGAAATGAAAATAATGAAATCACAAGGTACAAAGTCTTACTAGTAGCTCAAGGTTTTTCACAAAAATTAGGAATTGATTATGATGAAACATATTCTCCTATAATGGACACCATCACTTTTAGATTCTTAATTAGTTTGACCGTATCACAAAAGCTTGATATGCGCCTTATGGATGTAGTAACTGTATATTTGTATGGTTCACTTGATAGTGGCATATATATGAAAGTCCCCCAAGGACTTAAGATACCAGGAACAAACAATACATGCCCGAGAACTATGTTCTCAATTAATTGCAAAGATCATTATATGAATTAAAACAATTCGGACGCACGTGGTATAATCGTTTTAGCGAATATTTGTTGAATGAGGGTTATAAAAATGACGATATCTGACCATGTGTTTTCATAAAGAAAACAAATAGTGAATTTGTAATTGTGGCAGTTTATGTTGATGATTTAAATTTAATTGGAACTCCTGAAGAACTCAACAAAA